TTAAAGCCCGCTGAAGTTGTCAAAAGGGCTACCTCTTTCACAGTTAGAACTGCTAGACACATGAGCTCAGTAAGAGTATGTATCGGGCTTAGACAGGCCCCTTGCTTGGGTAAAAGGATATAAATCCTTCCATACAGTCATTAAACTATAATAGAATTTCCGTATATTTCGAATCCTTATTGGTCGTGCGGACTACCGCCAACCTTTAAAGTGTACTAAAGTAGCTAGATCTGGATGGCCGTGCGGACTACTGCCCGCCAACGTAGATCTTGGTGTAAAATGGTATCAGGGCCTAGGAATTTTCATGATAAATGTGTAATAGATATGAAAGATATGATGAATAAGACATATTTGACTTTTAGTCAAAAACAAAGTGATAATAAGAATTTTCTTAAAATAATATAATATAATGTGCTCAAACAACACAGATCACAACATGACATATTTAGTATTTTTTAATATTGACACCGAAACGAAATACAAGTACTAAAATCAAGGGATTAGGTTGCTACAAATAAAATAAAAGTTGTCTACTACGAGATTTGAATAATAATTTCATATCTTGCTTCAAAATTAATATCTAATGTTATATAATTTTTATATGAACGGTTTATATTTTAAGGTTATTTGCACATAATTCAAACAACATAGATTACAATTTGACATAATTTATGTTCGTGCATCGCGCGGGTACTAATACTAGTATCCTTAAATGTAGCGTTTACGAAAAAAAGTAATTTTTTTTTTGTTTTGTGTATTGCTTCTCTTGAATATTTTGTCATTTCAGGAACGAAATTAAATTGAATTTAAGTTGAAATTTTTTCAATATAACTGTTATGGTAGATCGTTACAAAGATCTAACCGCGTGAATACTTTTTGACCGTTAGTACATAAAACTTAAAACTCTATAATTACTTATATATGTGGAGAAATAATAAAGCAAATTAATCAACAGTTCCACAAAAATCTAGTATTGATAGTAAAGTGTGAATGTAGTAAAGGAAACACAAAGTGGGAGAATCTGACAACCCAACTGAGTAGTGACAAAGGAAGTTGAGTATTTGGGTGTCATTATTAGTGTTTGGGGCAGCATCACATGTATTCAATCTTGCACTGAGCAGATAAAGTAATAACCAAAAAATCTTAAAGCCTTTTAGAAGAAATAGGCTACCAACTCATCAAACGGCATCCCTCCGTATTCACGCAGGGTTGGGGAAAGGCCCGCACCAAAAGGATGTGACGTAGACAGCCTAATGCAAGTAGTGATTGTTTCTACGGCTCGAACCCATGACTTGTAGGCTACCAACTCATCTTTTTTGGTTAAATTGGCTACCATATCATCCAAATAGTCCCTACCTTGTCATTAGCAACTTTCTTTTCTTTTTGAAGTTGGAGAGTAAGGATTGACAACAGTTGAACTTAGGGTCACCTGAGAGAATCTGCAGCGCAGTAGAGTATCTTGGGAAGTTACATTAAGGTGAAACAATGAAATCAAGATTTGTGTCAACACATATGAAAGTGGATTTTGTGACAGATTTGAATAATAAAGTAGAACTATACTATTGGATTACAACAATATTAACGCTGCATATAAAATTTCTGGTTTTCAAGATTTTTTTAAAGCATGACTATGCTAACAGAACAAACTTCTCTTAGACATCTCTAAAGATTGAAGTACACAACTCCTCCAAAAAGGAAATAGATATAAGAAGAGCAATAACAAGTTGTCCCTGTAGAGTTAAAACACTCATCATTCTTTCAATAAACTTGCCGATTCTGTTCAACACTATCAACTTTCTCATTTTCGACGTAATGTACCACCCCATACACATGCATATATTCAATAGACAGACACCATTTGTAAATAATATAAATAAACATTAATTTGAGACAAGAAGTAAACACTTAAGACAATCACTCCTAGACCAGAACCCACTTACAGGTAAATAAATATAGTAGGCAGACGCCGTTTCTGTAAAATGCTGAGTATGCTACTGAAGTTCAGGCAAAACAGGCACTAATGAATTGTCTCCCTTTGCCAACTTTTCTTTCTACTAAGTACTTCTTTTCTTGTCATCAATAGAAATACTTCTGTCAGAAAGAGAAACACCAGCAACAATTTGGATATTAACCAATAACGGCTGCTTAACAATTTAACAATCTGTAAAATGCAAGCAAAAGAACTCGCCTAAACTACAGAAAACAGCAGAAAGTTTCTTGGATTCACAGTATCAACTCAATAAAGACAGCTAGCTAATATGATTTTTTCTTTTTACGATGATAGGGTAAAGAGACTGCTATCTAATAGGATTGTCCAACAATCACTAATCATAATGATTAATTTGTTTTAATCACGTTGTATGCCCAGATACTTATAAGTTGGAACTTGTAAGAATTTGTAATTTTTCCTCCCAAAAGAATATTAATTTATTGGATGATTGCAGTTATTGAGACTACATTTCCAGACAACAGGAACAATATCTACTCCCATGGCTGATTACTAGAGAGCATTAAAAGTTATAACACGACATGTTGCTACCTAAATTTCTTAGGTTAAGTGCATTTCTGAAGCTCCTCCGTTAAAAGAGTTATTTCTGACAAGTTCCTCTTCTAAAAAGTCATCAAACACTCAGATTCTTATGAAGAGGCAGCAAAAAAGAAAACAAAATTCAAATACCACTACTCAATTATGGTAGCTAAAAATCATTTCTACAGGAAGAAGGCTGTTCAAGCACAACAATTAAATCATAGCAATCAGCATAACTAGATTGAAGATGAACATCAATTACTTCTACCTACATTCCTACGCAAAACAAACACAAATAAATCAGTAACAGCTCTCAACAGTCATGCTAACAAAGAACCAAAAGTTGAATTTTCGTTAGCTTTTCCCTTTTGGACACAAATACAGCAACAGCCAATGCAACTAAAGAAGAATCATGTCCAATGTCCATACATAGCACATGATTGATCCCCCACTTGCTATCTTGGAATCCCAACAAAACAGCTTAACACAAGGGCATCTATATCATCAAACAATTTTAATAGCAGACAAGAGTCCTGAAAGGGAAAAAACAAACTTTATGACATCTTTTTATAAGAAAAACACACACTTTATGACATTTATCGCACTAGAGAGAAAGGAAACAACTCTTACAATTTGTACTAGCAAAAGAAGCTCCTCGTCAGATATCTGTGACACCTATTCAAGAGTTGAATAACAAATATTCTGACAATACACATTTTGGCCAGTAACAGCATCAAAAGGAGCTGGTGGAGATTGATGAACCAACCAAGGATGTTATGCATTTGTAAGTAAATTAGACAATTTGTTGAGTTTTTCTACAAGCACAGGGGTATTTCTTTCCCAACTTCTGGTCTCGCTATGCCAATTTCTCCGGCTGAGAGAAAAGGCAAATTTTTATACAATTGTGTTACAACTAATAAGAAAGGTTTCATGATATAGCAACTTCTAGAGTGCTTTTGCAGCTTTTAGCTCGACTAGAATGGTGTTTTACCCAAAGCATAATTCTGCTTCTTGGAAGTTAGATCGAACTTTCCATATGGTTTGGCAAGAATAATACATCTTTGATCTCTGTCTTCTGCTAAAGGCTCTGCAACCCATAATATTAGCAAGCGAGTTTCCTGAAAAGCTATTTGCCGCTTGCTGTGTCTTTGACATTAGCCTTTGACGTTAAGTTGAGTATTGGCAAGCAACAGATATGTGTCCCATCAAGCACTCAAACCAGCCCAATTCTTGAAAGCAATAAGTGCATCCATTTTACTGCGATTTCTCCTTCTTAACTTTGAAACTCTGAGCTTCTTATGTTTCTCCATGAATGCTTGTTTATATCTCCATTTATCAACAAATATCTTCATCTCTTGAGATTTCTCCACCACTTGCATTACAGCATCAAAGAAGCCCCCTTTGACTAACGCATACAGAAATGAGTCGACCAAGCTATTATCTAGTTTAAACTTCTTCTCCCCTTCCGTCGAAACCTTCCTTTTCACTTCGTTCCACAGCATCAAAACATTGAAATACTTCTCCGCTGTCACATATCCATTTATTAGAGAAAGATATGTCTGCTCATTTGGTTCAAACTGAAGGAAGGTCATTCTCCTGAAAGTCCTCCTTGCATCTTCTAGCCGTCCAGCCTTGCAGAAGGCATGAATGATGGAATTCCAATCATGTGTTCCAATTTCAATTCTAGGATCCTCAACAATATCATCTAAGAAAGCGGCCATGAGCTCAGGTCGATGGCTTTCTGTTAAACCAGTCATGATTGTCAAATAACTCCCTTGCAAGTCAGGTATTCTTGCTTCTCTCATGTCCCTAAAAATAGAAAATGCAGACTGAAAATCTTGGCATGACATTGACGCTTCAATTAGAGCATCATAGGTAGCAACATCTAATTGGAGGCCTAAACTGCTAATGTCTGTCACCAATTGAGCAGCTTCAGCTGTTTTTTGCTCTTTGCAATAAGCCTTCAATATTGGCACATAGACTCCAAGACCTAAAGAAGCCCCCTGAGCATTCATTTCATCAAATATCATATGTGCCTTGTCCAATAACCCGAGACTAACGCAAGCATTGATAATGCCATATCCAACAGATCTCTCAACAATCACTGATGGAGATTCCAAAGTCTGAGTTTCACCAATCAAAGTAGCTAAATCGATTATGCTCCCGTTTTGAAGAAATCCACTTACTAATTCACTATAAGTTCCTTCTCCAAAACATAAACCTTGTCCACCCGTTTCTCTTAAACCTTGAAGAATAGTTGCTGAAACAAACCCCAAATTACCACACTTTACAAACCCGCTAACCAAACTACTACGAAAAACCCCTTTATCCGTGAAACCAAATCCTCGTATTAGACCTTCTAACTCAACTATTTTTTCATTAAGACCCTTTAATGCATACAAATAAGCTAGCAACCCAAAACTACATTCATCAGGCCTAACACCCAAAACCGACATGGTCTCCACCACCTTCTCCGCATCGGTTATCGATTCGAGCTCACGACAACAACATTCTAGTGCAGCATTACAAGCTGCCAAACTAGGTCTCAAGAAATTCAACTTCTCATCACTAGCAATCCTACAATTCTCATTGAAAACTTGTAAAAACCCACTAAAGTTACCATTTTTCCTACAAATCTCGACAAGAACATCACCCCAGAGACTAAAAGGGATGAAAAATCTGTTCTTGAACATAGACTTAACCAATGCAAAAGCAGGGGCAGCAGTGTTAGCATCTCTCATTGATTTCAACAGAACATGTACAGTTTCAGGCTGTAACAATTCTTGTTTCTTCTCTAACAAGAAAACTACAGATGCAAATGCTCTTTTTATGTTATGGGTATCGTTTATTGATGACAAATGAGTGACGAGTGAATTGGTAAGTGACTTACTTGGGAAAGCTGAATAATTTGAAAGAGTCTTGAATGATTTCCACGCTTCATCTGTGTTGTCGGTGTTTATGGAATTTTGAAGAGTGGATTCAAGATTGGATTTATGTTCTTGTGTTAAGGTTAGTGGGGTTTGGTCTTGGGGTTTTGTTGGGGTTGTAGAAGAAGGTGGTTGTGTTCTTTTTAAGGAGAAAATTGAAGGTTGGAGAAAAGAATACAAAGTGGGGATTTCAGGTTGTGAAGAAAAGGGTCTTTGTGAGAGAATACAGAAAGCTCTTCTCCACATTCTTGCTCACTGTGTCGATCGAGAGAAATGCTGTATAAGGCGAAGCCCTTCGCAGAATATGACTGTTTTAAGGAACAATCACTAATAAGGTCAAACATTTTTAACATTTCAGTTTCTTTGCTGCAGTTAATATAATATTTATTTTGATTATTATTTAAATTTTATTGTATCATATTATTAAATTCGTCGTTATGTAACGATAAAATGAGCCATTTTATGTAACGATCCATTTGGTGTAGTCGCGTCGTTACCTTTTCTTTTTCTCTCAATCTCACCCTTCATTATTATTAAATAATTTTATTTTATCATTTACCCTACCTTTTTATATACCGTATCATAATCTTTCTTTATAATATTGCAAGTTTATTCATCATATTACTGGTGCGTGATACCATAAAACGACGTTAAACGACACAATCCATCCAAACAATGTATTCATCAAACAATACAGTACAATACAATATATTACGATACGATACATTATGAAACGATATGTAACAACCATCCAAACAAGCTGTTAGAAATAAAATTTTAATTATAAAAACGTTATAACTTTAAGAGTATTATTGTTCTATAAACAAATCAATTTTATTTAAATATAATTATGAAACAAATATATAAATTTATTATACCTCATTCCTTTGTTTGCTTCTCTTTTTGGACAAGACCATTCTTTTATTTCTTTTTTGGTTGAGCGGACATATATTAGTAAATTAATAATCTTTCAAACTTGTAAAATAATAATGCTTCTGACTTCTTAAACATTGTGAATTACTTGTAACATCAAACAAAATAACATCAGAATAACTATTAGGTTGAAAGTCTAAATATATAATACTAGTATTTAAACATATATTTGATCAACAGCTATATATTCAGTATAGTTCGACAAGTTGAGTCTTGACTAATTGATACTCCATTATTAACAATTATTGTAACTCAATAAGTAAAAGAGAATAAATGATTATTTTCTTATAGAATGTGTCTTCTCCCTTTTTCATTTCGATTGTGCTAGTCCAATTCTCTACAAACTAGTACCGTACCCGCGTGTTACGCGTAAAATATTAAATATAATTTTTCATACAAAAATATTACTTTAAAAATACGATAGACAAAAAGGAACATGCAAATACTATTATTGTATAAACAAGTAAATGCATTGTAAGTATACGTATGGAATAATAAATTGCATCACAAAGCCTTATAGCAACCCTAAGGAGTCTCTACAATTTACTGTTTTTACAAAGGTCTCTCAAATGATGTTTAAGTATACAATATGACCCCATGGGAAGTCACCCACCGTCATAATGTACTTTGATATTGTTTTCTCATAAGAATCGTATTCTTTATTCCATTGCTCAATTGCTCTCTGAATCATCTGTAAAGGAAAGTGAGAGTATTAACGGTAGTTGTTAAACTTTTTATGGAGTTTTTTAACACAGTTGCAGGGAAGAAACTTTGTGTTATAATTCTATTGTATAAGTACAAATTATCAGGAAAAAAATGATTATCCTATATTCATATTCACATGCTCATAAGTAGTCCTAATAAAATTTGAATTTTTAGAAAAAGCTAAGCGTTGTTCTTTTAACACTGTAAAAGTTTTCTAAAATCAACTTATCTCCTCCGTACTAACTGATGCAATCGGGGTATCAATATCTCTACCAAAACCCGAAATACTATAAAGTGAAACAAAAGTAGAACCAAGAAAATGCTCCTCTAAGGATTGCCCCGCGCTCATAAGGAAAAATCTGGAAAATAATAGAAAAATTATAATGTTTATATGTTCTTAAAATTATTTAGACAAATACAACACATACACCGCTTGCAAAGGTTTTTTTTAACCATTTTTAAAACATATAATTATATTATTTCCTACGAGAGCTTTAGCTAACAGTTCATACCATTTTCTGCAGAAAGTTAGAATAAATTATGCAGTGTTGTAGTAATTTGGCAAATGCTCTAGCACCAAATTATAGAATTTAAACCTTTTCACGGCATGAAGACATTTTATCCTAATTCTCAGGCTATTTTTTTTCTTTCTTTTTTTTCTTAGTTGGATGTTTAGCGCCAAATTAGTAGAAGTTACTCATCAAGAGCTGAACATCAAACATCAAATACAGTTCTAACTCAACTCCTATACTTTATGCAATATTTTTGTATCTTCTCACAATTAATAAGGACAAAAGAATCTTATGGATAATTAAATTAAACAATTACCTGAGTGTGGTGAACGACACAGTTTAGCTCCTTTTTCTTGAATCGTCGCAATCCCAAAAATTCAGTTGTTAACAACTAATTTAACATCTCCAATATTATGAAGCTTAAGCCGGGGAAGTAAATTGTAGTTAAAGTGGATGGTTCCACCAATCAAGTTTTCAATTGAGAGTACAGCTTTGTTTCAACACCATATTTCAAGTGCCTGAGAAAAGAGAAGCAATAATATAAAGGTGTGATAAATAGCAAAGATTCTCCGGGAACAATTCAACTGCCTAAGAAATAAGAAGTAATATCAATGTAATTCATGCTCGTACAAGGTGACATACAACTATAACTATTAAGGAATAGGAGGAGAATGTACCACAAAAATAGAAGCAAGTTTTGCCGAATGATGGAGGAGATCAAGTCGGCCTTCTGCCACCATATGTAATGGTCAAAATAGCATGGAGATATTACTCACTGTTTTCGTGGACCGACCCAAACAAACAGAAAGAAATTCTCAGACGCAATCAAATTGTAGCTACAAAGTAATAGTATTTTAATTTATTAGTTATCTATAACAAAACATATATATCGCGGGCTATTAAGTCTTTGAATTGTACATTGATAGTTAATCTTAATTTCACTAATATATTCCTTCAATTAGTTAGCAGTCTATGAACTTATAGCAACATTCTTATTTCCCCATCAACTAACAATTCAATCAATCAAGCAAGTAAAACTACAAAGGTCAGCACCAACCATTAAGTATTGCAATAATATTTCAAAAGTTAGTAAAAATAATTTTATTAAAAAATTGGATTTTCACATTGTTGCATTAATTTTTTTATATCAATATCAGCAACAAAAACTTATTTCATAAGGTCTGAAAATGCGTTACAATCTTAGTACAACACCAACAATACCAAAATAGTTAATTTGAAGTTAATAAAAATTAGTCAATAGATATGAACCTCATCACGACTTGTCTCAATGATTTATTTCATTCGTTAAACATCTGAAAATAAAAAATATTGGTCTCCACAAATTACTTGATTCATGGGATTGATCTTTACTTTGGGCTAGCAGACCTAACTATCTCATCATGAGTAGATGATTTGAACGCAATAACCTTCATGTTAGTGGCCTCATTGAACAACATTTCGAGAATATTGAATGCGTCATTTGTTTATCCTTCTTAAAGGTGAAGCAAAGACTCAAGGGATTACCTCATAATAGGAAAACCACCAATCACTGGAGAAATGACTTTCAGTTGAATAATTTTGGCATAGGATAATTTTTATCATCCGCGATTCCATGATATGGATATGGAATCTCCTGATATTTTAAGTACAACATGGTAGATTAATAATAAACTCAAGTTGTAACTCTGTAGAAATGAAGGGGGAAGGGGTAGAATGGTTAAAATAAAAATACTACGCTAGCAAAATGAGACGATGCACTAATAATATAATTTTTAATGTCAGAAGCGCAAAGCTGTTAAAAGCACAATGACAAAAAATTAAGATTGAGTTCAAATAATATCTTGTAACGACCCCGCCAGTCGTTTTAAGAATTTAAGCTCCGTTTGGCAGCGTAAGGCCTTGATCAGCTTCATAATATATGTATCGACTTGCGTGCATGGTTGAATTCAGTTAACGGATGATTCAGAGTCAATTGGAAGAAGGAAACTAGTTTTGGGAAGTTTAAACGGTGAGAATTTGATCGGAATTGGACTTTTGAGTGAACAACTCCGAAATGGGTTTGGCAGCGTAAGGTCTTGATCAGCTTCATAATATATGTATCGACTTGCGTGCATGGTTGAATTCAGTTAACGGATGATTCAGAGTCAATTGGAAGAAGGAAACTAGTTTTGGGAAGTTTAAACGGTGAGAATTTGATCGGAATTGGACTTTTGAGTGAACAACTCCGAAATGGGTTTTGGGTGATCTCAACAGCTTCGTATGGTGATTTTGAATGTAGGCGTGTGTTCAGATTGTGCTTTGGAGGTCCGTAGCTTATTTAGGCTTGAAATGCCGAAAGTTGAATTTTTAAAGTTTCTTGATCAATAGTGAAATTTTGATATCAGGGTCGAAATGCAATTCTGAGAGCTGGAACAGCTCCGTTATGTCATTTTGGACTTGTCTGCAAAATTTGGCGTCATTTCGGGTTGATTTGATAGGTTTCGGCACGAGTTTTGGAAATTCGAAGATTTGAAAGTTCCTAAGTTCGAATCATGGTGTGATTCATCGTTTCAGCATTGTTTTTTATGATTTGAGACCTCGAGTGAGTCTGTATTACGTTATATGACTTGTTTTATGTTTAGATGCGGTCTCGAGGGCCTCGGGTGTGTTCAGGGTGGGCTACAAGTATTTTCCCCTTATTTTGGATTGTTGTTCTGTCTTCTGGTTTCCCTTCTATGCGATCGCATAGTCACAACCGCGATCGCTAAGTCCCATTTAGCGGTTAACATTTTTCCTTCTTCACGTTCGCATATACTAGTCCGCGATCGCGTAGTTATGTTTCTGCCTTCTCCGCGTTCGCGCTCGCGCCTCCTTGTTCGCGTTCGCGTAGCTCAATTCCTGGACCACCAGATTTTCCTTATTCGTGATCGCACAAGTCTGTTTGCGATCGCGTAGCACTGATTCAAGGCAGTGGCTTTACTCTTCGCGATCGCATCCCCTTTTCTGCGACCGCGATTCATTAAATGTTTGGGCAGAATATAAATCTTCAAATCGAGGGTTAGGCCATTTTCACTATATTTTGAGTTTTAGACCTCGGTTTTAGGAGCTTCCTTGTGGGTTTTTCAAGCAATTTGATTGGGTAAGTGTTCTTCACCTAGAATCTAA